AATCGACAAAGTTTCAACTCAAAGACATTCCAGGGGAAAATCAAATTCAATGCAGAACCGTTCAAGAAGTAAATCAAGTTTTCGAAATCGCAGTGCCAGTTCTAATCAAAATCAAGGGACAAATCGTGATAATTTCAATAGACAAACAAATATCGACTATCGTGAGCTGGGTATTGACAATCTATGTTTCCGATGTGGGCGTGATAATCATCGTGCAAATGAATGCTATGCAAATCGTGACAATTTAAAGTGTAAACATTGTAATAAATCCGGACATGTCGCAAAAGTTTGTGTGACTACACTCCTTCGAAATAAAAACAGTTTTAAGTCTGTAAATACAAACAGTATTAACCAGGTAACAAGTAGTTATGATTCTAATCAAGTTATTGACGTTTTCGATAATAAATGTGAGCCTGATCGTGATGCGCGAAAGTATTTTATTAGTGTTTCGGTAGAAGGACACAATTTAACTTTTGAGGTAGATTCGGGTGCGGGATTTACCTTAATACCAAAGTATTTATTCGATAAGCTAGGTATAAACTGTAAACTTGACCAAGCAAATGTTCTATTTCGTGCCTACACTCATCAAATTTTTCGCCCTTATGGGAAAATTACTGTAAACGTTCAATATCGTAATTCCAGATCAACTGAAGACATGTATGTTGTTCCAAATCACTTAGATCCACTTTTAGGCAGAGTTTGGATTCGCCATCTAAAAATCAACTTGGAAGAAGTAGATGCCGACAGTTTCCATAATAATTCGTGTCCTATTAACAAGATTACAAATGTTAATGATATTCGTACACAGTTTTCTAAAATTTTTGAACAAAGGATCGGGTTAATTCCAAATGTAACAATTTCATTAACACTTCGAGAAAATTCAAAACCAGTTTACGTTCCGGAAAGAAACTTACCGTATGCTCTTCAAGAAAAAGTCGAACACGAGTTAAATTTACTCGAAGAACAAGGCATAATTTCAAAATGTCCTAAAAGCGACTGGGGTTCACCTCTAGTTGTTGTTCCTAAACCGGATGGGAAAGTCAGACTGTGCGTTGACTATAAAATCGCTGTGAATGACTGTTTAGTCAATGTGAACTATCCAATAAAACGCATTGACACTGTTTTAAATAGTCTACGGAACTCAAAATTTTTCTGTAGATTAGATTTGTTCAAAGCCTACCTACACTTAAAGGTAGACGATGCAAGTAGTTCAATCCAGACAATTTCGACACACCGGGGAACATTCAAAATGAATCGTTTAAGTTTTGGCATAAAAACGGCTCCGGCAGAGTTCAACAGGATAATCGACCAAATATTGCAAGGCCTTCCGAAAACCATATCATATTTCGATGATATCCTAGTGCACGGATCAACATATGAAGAATGCGCCGAAAATTTGTTTCAATGTCTCCAAAGACTTCAAGAGAATGATTTACACCTGAATGAGAACAAATGCTCGTTTTTCAAGGACGAAGTTGACTATTTGGGGTATGTAGTTCGATTTAACCAAATTTCAAAAGATCCAAAAAAAATTGATGCCATTAAGAACATGCCAAGGCCCAAAAATGTAGCCGACGTTAGAACATTTCTAGGCATGATTACGTACTACTCCAGACTACTCCCAGATTTATCCACTATGACAGCACCGCTTCGAAAGCTCCTAACAAAGAATGCGAATTTCTATTGGTCCTCACAATGTGAATCTGCCTTTATAAAACTAAAAGGTGAAATTACCAGTGACCGCGTTGTCGTTCCATTCGAGCCAACATGTCCAGTAATTCTATCAACAGACGCTAGCCCCTATGGTATCGCTGCAGTACTATCACATGTAGAAAACGATGATTTGGAAAAGCCAATTGCATTTGCGTCGCGTTCATTGACACAAGCGGAACAAAACTATTCGCAACTAGATCGAGAAGCGCTTGCCATAATATTCGGGGTAAGCCATTTTCAACAATATTTAATCGGAAGAAATTTCACTCTAATTACGGATAACCAACCGTTAGCTCGTATTTTTCATCCAAAAGCGAAAACTTCAAAAACAACATCAGCAAGGCTTATTCGATATGCCTCATATTTATCCAGTTTTGATTTTAATATTCAAGTTAAACGGGGCGTTGAAAACCAAAACGCAGATTGCCTTTCAAGGGCACCCATTAAATCAAAAAATTCAATGTCATTCGACGCATTGCAAAACGAAGAAATGCACGAGGTATATGAAATGACAATTTTTGATATTTCAACTGACACCATAAATTCTGACCGTATTAGAGAAGAAACCTGCAAAGATCGAGAACTACAAGAGATCATCGAAGAATTAAGTTCGACTTCTAAAGACTCTTCATTCACAATCGACCATGGAATACTATTTCGAGATCAACGTGTTGTAATTCCCAAATCAATGCAAAATGAAATACTTCAAGAACTACATGTGACACATTTAGGTGTTACAAAAATGAAACAACTGAGTAGAAGATATTGTTTCTGGAAAGGAATCGATAAAGACATTGAAAGTTTCGTCAAAGCCTGCCCCGAGTGCATCAAAATCAAACATAGTCCATCGAAAGTACCGCTACACCATTGGGAGATGCCTAACGAAAATTGGGATAGAATACATATAGACTATGCGGGTCCCATAGGCAATCAACACTTCTTGGTAGTAGTAGATGCGAAATCCAAATGGGCAGAAGTACGTGTTTTAAATGACAGTCCTAATAGTTTAAATTCAATTGAGCTATTAAATGGTATATTCTCAACACATGGATATCCCAAACAAATCGTCTCTGATAATGCAACCATTTTTACCAGCAAGCAGTTCAGCCATTATTGTCGTGATCACGGGATAAGACAAAAATTTATAGCTCCAGGGCACCCCGCAACAAACGGGTTAGCAGAACGAAATGTGCAAACGCTAAAAAGACGTCTTGAATCAATGAGAAATGAAAAATCATCTATTTCTGTAAAACTACAAACCATTTTGCTGCGTTATAGGGCAACCCCACTTATAGATGGGAAATCACCAGCAGAAAACTATCTTCATAGAAGGGTTCGAATTCGATTGGATGCGATTCGACCATATTTCGAGGGTTCCTCCAGTTCAGCGACTCCACCTGTGCGTTCACTTCAGGAGAAGGAGAGAGTGATTGCAAAATGCTTCGCAAATAACAAAATCATATGGAAACCGGGTACAGTGCTCAAGAAATTCGGGAAATTGCACTATTTAGTCGAATTAGACGATGGGTATAAATTTAAACGTCATATTGATCAGCTACAAAAAAGTGGACTGAAATCTGTTAAATTTCAAGATCCACCAGAGCCCCGTTGTCAGAAACAAGACGAAGAAGATACATCAAAGGGCCTTCACTTCCCACAAGATGAACATTCACACTACCAAACGATGCTGGATGCTACAAGGCAAGACGTTCCAGTGTTGGATACACCAGTTCCAGATGTACAAGTTTCGGTTCCAGAACTACGGCGATCAAAGAGAGACATTAGACCACCAGCAAAATTAACTGATTATGTTCTTCAATAAAGTAGGGGAGACTATTGTAAAGTATCTACGCCACTGTGTGCGCAGCTATTGCGCATGCTTGTAAAACAGTCAGGATGGTGTGTGGCTGGTGGTATAGAGTTGAGTATGATTTTATTCGATATATTATATTAATACATTTTGTGTAAATAAAGTATTGTGTTGTGTATCAATTTCTAATTCAATAATGAATACCGAGAAACCACTCGACTACGACACAATACATACATACACATAATTACCTTTTAATTACACGATTTGAATAATTATCCCTATATGTCAGTTAATCAAATGAATTTCATTCTATTGAAGAACAAGTACGTAATAATTTTCAGTCAGCAACTTAAAAACCCTTACAGAAATCACAGCCTAACACTTTACTTATACTGACTAACGATGAAAAATTGAAAAAGCAATAACTAAAATATAAGTATAAAAACGAATATAAAAATTAATTGTACCTACTAAAGATCATCATAATGTTGAATACCTACGTATAGTGGTAGGTACGTTTCTAATTCTGTAAAAAAAACACCAGATATTTATTGCCAATTTAAGAAAACTCCAACATTTACATTGTTTAATCTGTTCACCCTTGCAACTGTAATAAAACGAAGCATAAACTTTTTATGAGATTACTGGAAAATTACCCACGAGGAAAATGTTAAATGGGAATCTAATAAGTAAGTAACTTGTTGATTGGACAAGTATACGTTTTAATCAATAATTCAGGAACAAACACCTAGATTTTTCTCTATATTAGATTAAGATTAGTGAACATCTCTTGAATTGAGTATCCAATCAGTGCAAAATTAAGTTACGGCTATTATTTCGCAACACGCAAGTAATTTACTTGAGCGTGACATGATAAATTAATCAAACAGGTGAATGGGGATCGAAGACTTTTACTTAATTTTTATGTCGTTAGTTGCAGCCGATCAAGTCATCACTTTGTGCGTGGAAAAATTTGATCTCCACCGCCACTTTGAAGGGAATGCGAAGCGAGTTGTCATTTCTTATTCCTGACCCATCCTTTAATTCCCCAATTTCGATTTAAAATGTCACCAAGTTGGTGATCGGTACTATTTAATAACTGTTAAAAATTAGAACACATGTTTTCATAGCGATTATGTATGCGCCATTTTTATGTAAATAATAAAATTCTTTTTCAACTCCACGATTTTAATCAAGGATCGTAATTTCAGTACGCTCTTTCAAATATGCCAAGTATTCATTTAGGACGAGCAGCCTACCCTTGTAAGAATAATCACAATGCTTGTTACAAAATCAATATGGAATGCCATTCGCAAATTTATATTTCGTAAATTAAAATTATAAACGCCATTTGCAATCAGCACCTCTTTGGGAGACATTCGCTTTCCTACTGGAGTTTGGAAAATTAGCTTTAAATACTTATGATTATTGTGTAGTGAATTTTGAGTTAAGTTGCATAAATAGACAACGTAAATAAATTAATTATTTTATGTAATTAGTTAAAACAAGACATAAAAGGCAAGAAAAGCAAATATTTAAACAATGTGTGTTACTACAAATAGTAATAAAAACGAATGTGCATACCTAATTGAAACCACGTGCAGGTAAATATAGGAGAGGCGAAATAATGGGCAGTAAACACGTCCATCAAAGTTGCACTTTTCTTGTAACTATCACGCATCTTGTTGACAGAGAGGGTGCCATGGCCTGTGACAGTAGGTTGTACATGTCGAGATGCCAGCAATGGGTGGAAACATAGCCAGCTCCTGATGCTCGATCGATCGCTTCACGCCCAGTTTTCCCGCGCACTAGGGGATGTTGCGCATTACCGAAAATCTTCGGCTGCGCTCACAAAACATCCCAAATGAAATGTGAGAGATCTCAGTCCTTGGAAGTTCCGTAATCCAAGGACTCCTTTGAGAATTCATGCCTCGCTGAATATTTCGTGATCGGGTTCCCTATAAAACGTCGACTTTAAATTAGTATCGCTACCAAAATTAAAACAACTTTTATTTTTCGAATATCGTACTTACTCAAGGATAAAGACGTTGACAGCAATCCCTTTCCCTCACTTTCTACAAAATATAACAGTTGGTTGAATCTTGATTAGCGTCGTGTTTCCTTTCAGGTCGCTTTTGATACCTTTATGTCGATCCCTTAATATGCATTTTTCGAAGATATGTCCTACCACCTAAGCATGTTTCGTCTTTCGTTATAGAATTATAGATACACTTGTAACTTCAGTCATATCTCCTGTTCAGAGTTTTCATTTTCTGAAATAAAAAGAATATTGCCATAAAGTTTATTTGAATGGTGCTTCAACACATTGCTATAGTATACCAGCTTTGCTAACAAATTTTATAATGCAAATGGTACTTGTTTAGCAACAAGCGTGTAATATCTTTGTTTTCAGTACCTGAATTATGGTCATATCACACAAATTTTTAATTCTTTGAACGTATTAATATATGTATGGTAGCTAGAAGATTATGCGTATACAAGGGGGAAGTAAGAGTCTTCTGTACCAACTGCACCCAATGTAAATTTCCATAAGAGCGCCCGCCATAAAAACACAAGTTGTTTTTAAAAAAAATTTTACTACAACTATTTTATAAATTTACACCGTTAGGTACCTACAAAATGTTCGAACTATATTTTTTTTTGTTTATAACTGAATACCGATTGTTTAATGATTACCGATTATTGCGCTAATCTGTTTTATTTTTTTACTCTTGATCAAAGCGATTTATGGAAAAAGTAAACCGACAGTTTTGTAGAATATTTCCCTCATATGTAATATATCCCATATGAGGTGTGCAATTATCGCTCAATTACAGCGGTAATTGCATTGTAGAAAGCGAAAGAGCCCTGCGATAATTGCACCGTCCATATCCATGGCAATGGCAACTGGCAACTCCATTGGACACTTTCATAATACACCGATAATTTATAAGTAGGTAACGTCAGTTTGACAAGTAATGTTTGTTCTGGAAATATTCCCCGCATGCATCAAAATAAACCTGACTATTCAATTCATCTAACATTTGTCACATTTCGACCAGTGAAATGTCGAGATTTCAAATTGTTGAGCCAATGGGAACGAATTATAGTGATTATATCATTCATACGACATTGAGCCAATCAAAACTTCCACTTTCCTTAGATACCAATGCATTAATAAGCGATTATACCCTTGACGACGTGATATAATCGATTTGGTGTTTTCGCTATGTCATTTAAAGTCATAAATCTAGTATACACTATATTTGATGACAATAACAATAACTGTCAAAATAAAATTCTATTCATTATATAATCGTGTCGAATACCACTCGAGCATTACAAAATAATTTTTATACTACCTCGTAACTCGACGAATAATCCGTTGAAACACCACTCGACCTTCGGTCTCGTGGTGTTTCGGATCATTCGTCTCGTTATTCGGTAGTATAATCGATTATTTTGTATGCTCTTGTGATATTATAATTGACAATTTCACGTGTGGTATTTCAGCGACAATTCAACTCATGTATAAAAAATCACATAAGCCGCAGTGTAATTGTCACTTTGACAGCGGCAAAAGTTACCTGCAACTTTTCCAGCGACAAATGCACTAGTGGTTTTTTCACTTATTCATTTTCGAACCAATTATCGCATTATCCTTTCCCATATGACTAGTTTGACGTCTGTCAATAATTGATTAGTTTGGTGAATTTCTTGTTCGTTAAATTGTCCTGCCGAATTACACTCGAGGTTTGTATTTAAACCGAGTAAATTTGGGTTGTGGCAATTCAAATCTGTTTCCTTTTAGCAATTGGACTCGAAAAACTGTCAACCTAAAAATGCTCCACCTGCGGTGTCGCATTTTTATTAGTTGACAGTTTTTCTCGTCTAATTGCTAGGCAACAGATTTTCATTACCTATACAACCCAAATTTACTCGGTAAAATACAAACCTCTTGTGCAATTATAAGTGACAATTCAATGCGATTATTCAATGACATTTGTCAAACTTCCACCAGTGAAATGTCGCGAAATTTTGTCGTATTAACCGGAACATTCTTCTTAGTTTGTTAATCAATTTCGACAACCGACTTATCACCACATCTTTTAATTTAATCACTCATAACGAATTAGCTTGGAGCACAAAAGTTCGAATAGAATCGATAGCAAAATGAAAAGCAACTTCCGTAATTTATTTTGACGTTTATTGTTGTCATGGAAATACATTCGCGTGGGTAATTATGCTTAATTTTTCTGATTCATTGAATAGTCCTCCGAATACCATTCGTAGTCGAAGTATTTGTAGATTATTTTTGAGCTGCTGTTCCACTCATGCTAGTTACGCTTTTTAATACCACTCGCGCAAGCGCTCGTGGTATTAATCAGCGTAACTAGCATTCGTGACAGCACCTCAAAAATATTCGACAATACTTCGACTACTTATGGTATTATATATGATAATTTTTTATTCAAGCATGTTGTCAGTAAAAAACTGCATTCGGTCATTTTCATGTTTCGTTAAAATCTTTCGCCAAAATATGAAAATAAACTCATGCAGTTTTTAGACAACATGCTTTCAAAAAAATTATCGGTAATTTTGTTGCACTTGTGCAATTACCTACGATAAGTTACTTCTAAAATTACCCCAAAAAATGAAATCATATTTTTAGCGCATTTTTTAAGAATTAAAAAAAATGTGCTATTGATTGCGTTTTGTCCGCCCGGACCCACTTCTACCGTTTTGAACTACTTCCTGATCCTAGAGTCCTGGAATTTTTTGCAGTAGTTTGCCTATTATAGGCACACTTTCAAGGTATAGGCTGCCTATACCTTGAAGGTGTGCCAGACGGCCATCAAATTTCGCTGCCTAAAAGGGGGGCCCCCCACTGCATAACTTTTACATGCGAGAACCAATTGGTCTCAGATTTTGCATACGCATGCCTTTAATGGTGCCAAGTTAAACTTTAAAAAATAGGGGGGGGGGGTAAACACATGTTCTACCCTTCATGATATTCTAATAAAAGGTCTCATCGAAATAAATTGGTTTGTACAAACTATAACTAAGAACGGATTGTCGGAAGAGGGTACTCACAAAGGGCGACTGAGACGTCTGCAAGAAATATATCCATTAGTGATGTCAAAACAAAAGCTAATTCGGTTAAAAGAATGCGCTTTATCTGCACAAGAGTTGTGCACAATTTATACTTGTTAGTAAATAAAGTCTGTAACTTGGCGGGCGGTAAATCAACAATTTGAGTGTAGTAAGTGGCGCCGCTGCACAGTGTCGACGGGGACTAGGACCAAGACAGGAGTTGACAAAGCAGGAATATCATCCTGTTTCTTGCAACTATAATCATATACGTAAGTACACTATAATGTAAAAAAGTTACGCTTAGCTAAAGAATTATAAATAAAGCCAAGGTAGCAAATACCCATACGTTTACCACGTACCTATTCTTTTGATAAAGATTAGCAATTTTAACACTTATCTTTTGAAAAGACGATTAAATAAAAAATAAATCCCGAATTCTGGAAAATAGTTTTTATATAACAAGTGCGCGAAGTTCAATTTCACGGATTGAGACTCAAATGCGCGAAATAATTTCGCGCTACCGTTATATAGGTACAGTATTTTTTCTACAACTGAACCGATTGTTAATTAAATTTGCTGTTTAAGTTCAACTTTGTCACGTGCGCGAAATACTTTTTTTCACTGTTGACGATTTCGCGCACGTTGTCAAGAGCAACCTTACTTATTAATTAACCGTTTAAAAATCTAGTACTTCGTGTTACGAAATTCGTCAGAAAATGACAGGTTTTTTTCACAGTGTTGTAGAAAAACATGTTTTCCGCGAACATTTGATAACTCCCTAAAAACAATTATTAGTCGGCCTTTCACGAACCTTCTATGGATATAACTATAGTTTACGGTTGGATGAATGAAGCTGATTTATTTTACAGGCTAATGATAGGTACTGCCAATGACTATGACAGTGTTTCTTTGTTAAATTTTTTCGAAATGGTGTAATTGAGCTAACTAGGTAGGTGTCTGCTGGGTGGTATTTTTGACCATATACCATAGCACTCACCAATATACAGTATATACTTGCCAAAATCTGTAATATAAAAACTCCTGCTTAATCACACATTACACTGTTATACCATGGTATCTTACTGGTTTACCAAGGAAATTGCAATGCAGTGCAAACTGAATATCATATGTTTTTAAATGACTGCAATATTGGCTTTTTACATGATGAAAGAAAGTTTTTTTTCTCTTTCCAACTATATATGGCGTTACCAATATAATTCCACTGGATTTGATGCACTCTGTTGTAATGGGTTGTTCTGAGTGGAAGGTCCGCTTAGCGAAAGGCTTTTTAGAGAAGAGTACTGGTTGTGGTTTAGGAAGGGAAATAATCATAGATAGATATTACGAAAAAGAAGACTTGATAGACATGAAGAAATGAATCTGCAACATGTAGAAATATGCTGTAGAAAACCAGCAAAATACATAATTCATTCTGCATGAAATTGTAAGAGATTCTGTAAAAAATTAGTCCTTGTGTGAGATGAAAGACTTCAGCGCATTTTTGTGTGACAGATCAGTATCCTGTTGGTCAAATTTGACTCCACCATCAATAAGATCTTGCCGAAGGCCAGTCATTAATATGCAAGCTACTTCCCGGATAGGATCGTGTCAATGTTGAACAAAAAGGCAACGTTCCACGTCTTATTCCGGAACAACGTGTTGTTATACTCGAAAATAAGGCAATACCATATAGAAAACATACATTTTTGTGTAAATAACGTCATAACGCCACTTCGGTCTAAACGCCAAAAATAATACGGAACACCTTGTAAATGAGAATATTTTAATTTTTTAAGACTAATGGCCGTTTGCACCGAGAAATTTAAGTGGAGCTTAGCTTAAGCGTAGCTTAAAATACATGACAACAATTATTGAGACAATGGTTACCATGGAGTTTAAGGTACGCTTAAGCTAAGCTCCGCTTAAATTTGTCGGTGCAAATGGGCATAAATCTAGGGATTATCAACGAATAAGCACAAAGTTGGTTTATTGTATTTGAATTTGATATCTAGGTGTCTATTTGTCCTTGTAGAATTGCGCAATATTTTCTTGTTTAAATGTTGTTTCCTTAAATACTTGAAATGTAAGAACGTGTAAATTTGTGTACGCTAAATCTCTGTCTGACAGTATGACCTATTTGTTTACCGGAAGACACAATTTGTCATTTTTATAATAAATT